TTGTTTAATAAAATGATTTTAATCTCATTTTAGACAACAATGTTTACTCTGATACAGTATTTTAGGGTAAAACATTAACAGTGCTTCTAGTTCTCTATGTTCCAGTATATTGAACACAATGTGGAAATTTCATTTGTGGATTTGACAATAATATTCTATATAATCTAAGAATTCTAACACTCCAGCTTTCCTGAGTTTTTCCATTAAGCTACAAACTTTCCTACCCCATGTTTTCTAAAATGTCAACATTTCGGAGAAAGATATCAGGAGAAGTCAGTAAAAATCTCCTCCATGTCTTCCATCAGAATCCTCCCTAAATTGTAATCCATTCTGTAAATTGATGGAGTACTTCTAATTATGAAAGAATTGAAAAGAATCAAGCTATTTTATGATTTAACATATCTTTAAACTATTATGTTTTCATTAAAATTTGAATTTTGATTTTAATGTTATATGACTTTATGCTACTGTATATGTCTGTCAGAAGATTGGAATAAATATTACTTATTTTAATATTTTATACTCCACATTGAAATGCATCTCAAAACAGCTTACCACAGAATTATAAATAAATATGAAAAACAATGAATTAAAACAATATGCCACTTCCATCTCTTTATAGAGTTATTTGGAATTCAGAGCCCTTTGAAGAAATGAAAAATGTGATATATGCATTATATGAACCATATTAAAAGTTAATGTTAGATGTATATTATAAAAAAAATCAATAAAAGCCAAGTTGGGTAGAAAGTATTAACAATCTGTTATCAGCCCCTCTTCCATTTTTAAATAAGAACAACAACAAAATCAACTCTGTATATAAAATAATTTGAAATATTATGGCTAAAACACTCTAAGTCTATTCATATTATTGTCTAATCATTTTTTCCTTGTTGCTTTTCTCCATCCCACCCTACTAAAAGTATTGGAAGGCTGTCCACTTGCCAAATACATAATTTTCTGATATTTCTTTAGTTGTTCTCTCTAGTCTATGCCAAAGCCAGAGATGCTTACTTTCCTAATAGAAAAACTGACAGTTTCATAATTTAAAATATACAATGATGTCTTTAAATATATTACTGATCAGAAATGGTCTAAAATACTTTTAGATTCATATAAACATATGTCAAGATTATATCCTAAAATTACCATAATATATACATATGATAGATAGAAAGATGGAAAGATAGATAGAATATACTTGCTGGCTTATCCATATTTATGGAGCATTTTTTTACTGGAAAGCAATTCAGCAATGTGGTATGATATTAATTAGGAATGTTTTCAATATACAGTATTATTGAAGTTGTATAGGAAGACCTTATCTATTGAGGTATAATTTATATGTTATACACACAGTTTAAAACAGTAGGCTTCCTTCAGCTAAAAAACATGTTACACTATGTATGTCTTTAAAAACTATTGCATGTTAGGTGAAGATTCTGATTGCAAACAAAAGTTTTTGAAGTAATGAGCTACTTATGAAAGTATTTAAAACATAACTGAAACACTGGAGAAGCAATCCGTAACATCCTAATATAATATGAAATAAGATCCTAAGAGGAGTGAGGTGATTTGACTTGGTGGCAATGTCTAGAAGTACTAGCAGATAATTAAACTGAACAGGAACAAACATTATGGTACAACAACTTTTTTAAAAAAAGCATTTCCTATGCCAAAGCACTGAAATAAATTTAACTGGCAAAATAATATACAGTGATTGCTCTATGGACTTAACATAGTTGTTATTTTTGGGGCTACAGAAAGGGACTTTACTATTACTGTGTTAACAAGAATTAACAAGAATTGTCACTAAAATATATACATTCAATGTACCACACATATTTTAGAACTGAATTTGGCAAAATAATACCTTTAGCTATATCAATCCTTTGTGTCAATTACTGTCAGCATAAAATTTCAAGAATTATTCCAGACCACTTAAATTATAGACACAGGGATGTAAACTGAATTTCTCCTAAACAAATTTATCTATACATTTGTCATTATATTACCTACTTTACAGCATCTAAAAACCAATACACTTTTTGTGGACTAATATTTGGCAGCCTGGAGTCCACCAGTATATATACCAGTGGTGGCGAACCTATGGCACGGGTGCCAGAGGTAGCACTCAGAGCCCTCTCTGTGGGCACGCGCGCTGTCGCCCCAGTCCTAGGCCTTCAGCTGGGTTTTATAAAACCTTTTCGCGTTAGGCCTCCGCGGCGTGTGCAAAAAAAAAAAGGTTCAATCAATCAATAAATTTCAACTTCTCGCAGGAAAAAAAAGATCTTGCAAAGTTGGACTTCATTGAACTTTTTAGTCCCACCCAGTCTGCCGTTACCACCGCAGCCACGCCCACCCAATGGGCCACGCCCACCCAACGGGCCACACCCACCCGGCACCCGACGATGCATAAGTGGGTTTTGGGTTGCAGTTTGGGCACTCGGTCTCTAAAAGGTTCGCCATCACTGATATATACACTTAGATATAAAAAGGGAAAAGTAGTGAGTTCAGAAAGAAGTTTACAAAAAAACCTGACTTAAGTAATTAAGTTTCAAAGTAAATAGATATAAATTAAGAAATATTTATAAAGTTGTTTATAATAATGTTCCTAGGATAAAAAAAAGCTAATGAGATTAAACATATTATCATGATTCAAGCAATGTTGAATAATAAAACTGCAAAAGAAAAGAAAAATTTACTATTATTCACAATATTATAAGAGAATTCTATCTGATTTTAGCCAAAAAGCAATGCTAAAAGGAAACAATTTAAAACATTGTAGAAAAAAAATCACAAGTACATATTGCTTTATCTGAATACAGCTTAGATTTTCCCACTAAATCCCCTCATGCCAAATAATATGTCATTGACAAATAATTTAAAAATCCAAAATGGGTCAATTAATTCAGTAACTATTTTTGGATTACTCAGAAGTATCCAAATGTTAATAAGAAACATATTTTAAAAAGAAGTTGCCAAACAGGTTACACCCAAAATCTAAACCAACATTTCTATTTTAAGGAATGTATTCATATCTAAATACATTTATCTTAAGGGGAACATATTCCATTTCAAATCTGAATAATGATTGAAAAAATAAATAGGAGTGTGTGTAATTTGCAATTATATAAACATATAGAGATCAATCCCATATAAATTTTCATATTTTTTAAAAAATTTACATAGACCCCGTATTTTAGAACACTGCACCATTATACTTTGCATTTTATTATATAACATAGAAATAAAAATGAAATTAGATTTGCAGATCTGCTTTCCTCCAATTCACAACCACCAGAGGGAGCAGGATGTTTAAACAAATTCTACTGGAATGTAGTAAGAAAAAACTGATATCAAATCATTTAACACTACTTAAATGTTATGTTGAATTGTTATCTGAAAATACAAAACAATTATGGGAAATATTTCAGTTAGACAACAAAAGCACTTAAAATTCAAGTAAATGTTTCTGAGTATGTTTCTGAGAAGAGGCTAAATGCAATGAATTAAACATTGATACATGAAACATACATTAAAACTAGACCAACTGTTAAAAATTTCAGAATTTATTTGGAAACTTGTTTAATGTAAATATTAAATTTAATTCAAGATTCAGAACTAACTGTTGTTTCTTATTGCAAACAGAGCAAATAATTCCCTGCAGAGAGCTGTTCCTATTGAAATTGAATGGATATCGGTAATGTGTAAGTGAAGGAGGAATTTTAAGTAGATTAAAGTTATAAACAGGAGGAAGATACAGAATATGTATCTATATATTTACTTAAGGAAGTATCTGTATCTCTCCATCCATCCATTGTACAGTTGGATTTCAGTAAGGCATTTCTCAAAATAGATGACAACCTATTTCTTGGGAAGCTAGAAAAATGTGGGATAGATAGCATCAACACCAGATGGATTCGTAACTGGCTGTCAAACCACACTCAATGTATATAGTCCTTAATTGAACTACATCTACATGGAGGGAAGTAAGCAGTAGGGTACCTCAAAGTTCTGTTTTAGGCCCAGTACTCTTCAATATCATCATAACTGATTTAGACAAGGGAATATAAGGGGAACTCGTCAAATTTTCAGATGACATCAAGCTACTAATCAAGGATTAGCCAATACTCCAGAAAATAGGCTCAAGGTCCAAATGGATCTCGACAAGACTTGAACACTGGGCCCTATCTCACAAAAAGAAATTCAGTGTAGAGAAAAGTAAGGTTTTACACTTAGGGAAGAAAAACCAAATGTATAGGTACAGACTAGGTAAAACTTGGCTCAATAGCAGTAACCGCGTGAGAGATCTTGGAGTCCCAGTGGACAATCACTTAAATACCTATGAGCTGACATAGGCTGCATTAACAGAGGGATAGAATCAAGATCACACGAAGAGTCAATGCTGCTTTATAAAGCCTTGGTAATGCCACACTGGAATACTGCATCCAGTTTTGGTCACCACAATATAAAAAAGATGTTAAGACTCTAGAAAGAGTGCAGAGAAGACCAACAAAGATGATTAGGGGATGGGGGGGCTAAAACATATGAAGAACTATAGGACTATATCTAATCTAGTGAAAAGAAGGACTAGAAGAAATATGATAGTAGTGTTCCAATATTTGGAGGGCTGCCACAAAGAAAAGGGGGTCAACCTATTTTTCAAAGCACTAGAAAGTAGGACAAGAAGCAATAGATGGAAACCAATCAAAGAGAGAAACAACCCAGTGGAACCATTCGCCTTCAGAAGTTGTGGGTGCTCCATCACTGGAGGCTTTAAAAAGAGATTGGCAGCCATTTGTCTAAAATGTATAGGGTCTCCTGCCTGATCAGGGGGTTGGACTAGAAGACCTCCAAGGCCCTTCCATCTCTGTTTTTCTGTTATCTGGCAGAGAGTGAGCTAGTAAATATATAAAGGTAATTCAGTGCCCTCTAAGTTGAAAAAAAATATTTTAGGTGCTCTCCTACTTGTTCACATTATGTTTTGTCATATTTACCTGCAAATCGATCTCTGCTTCATAGAATGTTAGGCAAGAACAATAGTGTCGTTCAGAGTTTATATCTGTCAAAACCACCACAAAAAATGTAGGCTGCTTCCTTTCTCTGGATAAAAGCCATCCTCCAGGTTGACAAAACTAAAAAAAAAAAAAAAAGCAAGCACAGAAAAAAATTAATGCAAAGATATATTAGAGAGCAAGAATAAAACTTATTTTATAAAATAATTAACAATTGAAAGAGCATATAATCTGATATTTTAAAAGTAATGTTGTGTGGACCTAACATCAATTCAGAAATATAAGAAATCCAGGCTGCAGGAATTGCAAAAAAAAATTAAAAATCACTGCAGATATTCTACTGATTTTCAAAATTAGCTTTTATTTTTCTTCTGATTTTGTACCAGATTCCATCAAAATTTACTAATACATTAGTAAATATATATTTACTAACATATATTTTAAAAACACTGTAATTCATGCTGACTTATAAAGAGTTGACTCTTGCAGTGTTTCATTCTGATACATAGCTATTGGTCTAGAACAAGGATCCCCAACCCCCGGTCCGTGGACCGATACCAAGTCGCAGCATGCCAGCAACCGATCCGCACAAAACCGGTCAGCACACAAAACCATATACTCTCCGGTCCGTGGAAAAACCTTTCTCCATGTAATTGGTCCCTGGTGCCCAAAAGGTTGGGGACCTCTGGTCTAGAAGCATTCAAATACATAATTTATTATGCAGACTAATTCAGGTAACATGATACTTGCATAACAAAATAGAATTTTATTTCCCACAAACAAACCTAAAAATTGGTGCTGCATTTATAATCTTCAGCTAGGCAAGTATTTAAGCACTTCTCTAATGAGATTTTTTTCTTTAAAAAAATAATGCCCAAAGCTTATTGCTTCCATAAATCTTTAGAAGACTCTCTGATAATACAAGGAATATTTCTGATCTCATTTCATAATCTATAGTTTAAAAAAGAATGCTAAAATGAAGTCTGAATCAAAATATTTTGAAAGAAAACCTGTTCTGTCCTTCAATAAAATTTTATTTAATACATGTAAAAAAACTAATAAAGCTAATGAAATAGTTCAGATTCTTTTTCTGAAATTTTCATCAGTGGAATGGTTAACCTCAGAAGTTGTGGGTGCTCCATTACCGGAGGCTTTTAAGAAGAAACTGGAAAGCCATTTGTCTGGAATTATATAGGGCAGGGGTCTTCAAACTTGGCCCTTTTATGACTTGTGGACTTCAACTCCCAGAATTCCTCAGCCAGGGCCAAGTTTGAAGACCCCTGGTATAGGGTCTCCTGTTTGAACATGGGGTTGGACTAGAAGATCTTCAAGGTCCCTTCCAATTCTGTTATTCTGTTATTCTTTCTCCAAGCAACTCCAAGCAAATGGTACTTGTTTATCGCTTATACCCTGGTTTGAACAGGAGAAGCACGGGACCAACTTTCTCTGAGTTTAGAAGCTAAGCAAGGTCAGGCACGGTTAGTATACAACTAGGAGACTAGCTCATTGAACATCACTCCAGAAAAAAACAATGGCAAATTATTTTTGGACCTATTACAAGGAAAACTACATGAATATATACTACATGAAAATACCAGCTTAACCTGATGGAGACTTGACCATGCACTAAATATAAATTCTAATAATTGTAGTATTTTTGAATGATATCTATGACTATTCTATTCACAGTTGCATTGTCCACAAGAATCAAGATTATTTAAGTTAAAGAACACAACAGAAAAGCATATTTTCTGAATATTTAATAAACAAAAAGAATGTTATGATTTTGTATGTGAAAATATTACATGAACTAGCTATCAGTTTACTAAACAAGCAACATGAATGACATATTCAATGATATACTGCAGATCACGTTGGTTATTTAGATATTTCTACTAAGTATCAGATGCATAACACTATTATATGCAACAAAATAAGTCATATGCCCTTTCAAGAAGAAATTCTGTTTAACAATATATTCTGCTATATTTACGGCACTTTATACAGATGTTCTAAGATTATTTATTCATTTAATTTCTCTGTTGCTTCAGTCCAGATGGACATTATATAGATATAAATTATAACGAAAGTCATGTAATGTAACAATTAACAATAACATAGCCTTTTCAGTGCACAGATTTTTAATAAAAATGATTCAAGATTGGTCCTTGCTTCAAACAAATCAAGCAGTTCAAGTACAAAACCACTCAATGTTTACTTATTAATTTATTGTACTTTTATGCAGCTTCATTCAGGCAAATCTTAGTGACTAACAATAGCTGGCTCCACAGGAGGGAAATTCTAGCCAAGAATACTTGTCTCCAAGCCTCCTTCCATTGTACTTCACATACTTTAAACCAGCACACACAAGATTCTACTTGAAACAGTCTCATTGATATCCAGATCCTAACCCATGAAGGTTTTTAAAGGTTATTATCAGCACCCTACATTGTGAATTATGACATGTTAAATTCAGATAAAACCACATGCACTACAGAAAGTGTTGTTAATAGCATAATGTCATGCTGATAAACTAGAACTACATATTATGTAAATACAACTAAACAACTGATTATAGGTTGTTTAGCCCACAATTAAAATGCAGCATATGAATATCAGAGTTATTTCACAAACTAACCAATCAGCAGAGTTATTTAAGCACATCAGACACCATCTAATACAGGGCTTTTCAACCTTTTCACCCACTGTACCGCTTTTAGGATATGGCAATATCCAAGTACCACCAGTTGTCTAGCAAGGTGTTAAAAACTTGATGACCCCCCCCAAAAGGGAAAAAAGTGATAAAGTACAGGTAGTCCTCAACTTACAACAGTTCGCTTAGTGACTGTTCGAAGTTACGATGGCACTGAAAAAGTGACTTATGGCCATTTTTCACACTTATGACTGTTTCAGCATTCCCAGGATTATGTGATTTACATTCGGATGCTTGGCAACTGATTCATATTTATGATGGCTGCAGTGTCTCAAGGACATGTGATCCCCTTTTGCAACCTTTTGCCAAGCAAAGTCAAAGGGGAAACCAGATTCACTTAACAACCTTTTATATCAGGGGTGTAAAATTCAATTTCATTGAGGGCCGCATTAACATTGTGGTTACCATGGGGGGGGGGTGTTCCTTCCTTCCTTTTTCCCTCCCACCCTGCCTCTCTCCTCATTCCCACCTCCTTCCTTCCTTCCTTCCTTCCTGCCTGCCTGCCTGCCTGCCTGCACTAATTCTGGCGCTGCTGAGCCCTGACAGCTGATCCGCGCTTCTGCAGGGCTGTCAGGGCTCAGCGGAAGTGCCAGGATCAGCGCCAGGCCCCAGCTGATCTCCTCCAAGTCTGTGCGGTGCCGCTTTAGCTGGTTCTCTCCCCCGCTACACTTGGCTAGGGGTCGCGTACCACCTGCCAGGTGCCAAAGTACCACTGGTGATATGTGTATCACCAGTTGAAAACCACTGATCTAATACATACCAAAATCTCTACAGCCCTTACAGAATTGAAAGACAAATGAAGGCTGGTAGAAAAAAAATAAAAACATTCTTAATTCTATGTCAGATTCTGGGGACTCCAACATACAGTAGAGCTTGTAACCCAGGATATCAAGCTAGTGTCCCTCTCCATCTGTAACAGTAATTCGGATCCTTCAAGATTTTCTTTGGAAGCTTTTACCTGTGCCATATTTCATTCACAACATTAACACTGAAATCTATGAAGGCCTTCTGAAACAACCGGATCTCAACAATTTGTCAGAAGAACATAAGTAAAAGGGCCCATTTTATTTCTGGAGACAATCTATTTACACTGGAGGGAAGCAGTGATGGAGGATGTTATACTGTTAAATGATATGCTGTCAGAATATGGTTATTGTATATTTTAAATTACAGGTAGTCTTCGACTTACGACCACAATGGAACCTGGAATTTCTGTTTGTAAGTCATTCTGGTCCTAAATTGACCAGATCCAATTTTATGATATTTTTGCAGCAGTCATATGAAGTTGAATATAGATGACAAAGTAATCATTTACACTATTCTGTTTAGATTTTCAATATTCTGGAAACTGAAGACACTGAATATGGTTTCCGTCAAGTTTCTTGCATTGTTTCAATGAGTTCTGCCAATATCAGTATTAATATCAGAACAAAAACAACCAACCTGAGTGAGTAAGGCAATGAATTATACAGTATATTGGAATTTCAAGGCTTTTTTGCTTCTAATTTTCAACTACCTTTTTCATAAGATCTGTTCCTCACTTTTTTTTTTTTTAAATAAAACCTCTTGAAGGAGACTCAATAGATTCTGGTCTCCAACTGCTGCATCTTGAACAGTTTTTTGGATTGTAAAATAGCCCTATACTCAGTGGTGTGCTGTTACATTTTCAGGAATTTTGCAAGCTGATTGAGAGCACAGCTGAGCCCCAACACTTAGTGTGGTAACTGGCTGCAGCATGGCGGCAGCAATGTAACGAGAAAACTTAGTTCTTAAACATTTACCAGCATACCACTGCCTCTACTACAAATAATGGAAGGAGGCTGAGTCTCAGTTCTATTAGCATTTATTGAAGTCTTTCTGTGACTAGCATCCTGTCAATAGCAATTTCCTAGAAACTTTGCAGAGCAAAGTACATGAAAGAGTAGAGAACATTGCTATGAATACTATGAGTGCTATGAATGGAATGCATCAAATCCAGCATCAAATCCAACATCAAATATGTTCTGAACAGTAAAGTCAACAGTAGCACAGACAAATCTTTATGAAACAAAGTCAAATGCATCAACAGCAGTTGTGAATAATAAAAATCAAGTCAATTCTACACAGATGCAAACAAATGGCAAGGTTGGGAAAAAGATGTCTATGTAGGTGGTAATGGAATATCAGCAATCAGAAACTCTTATAAGAAACTTGCTCTTGAAATGGGCAAAGATGTTTTAAGAGCAGACAGCAAGGCTGTTATAACAAAGATTTGTCCATGTTCTCAGTTTTTTTGTATGCAAAACACCAATCTATCTCCTTCAACATTAAGTTCCTGGAAATTCACTCACCTGTTCATTGACCAGTCAAGGAACTTAGTCAAAAGGATTGTATGAGTAATATTCTTGTCAACAAGCTGCAATGCAAT